TGGGACTCTATGCCCCGGCTTATACACAGATGGACGAGTTCCACGCTCTCCCGACCTATCTACCGGAAGGATTTGACATTGATGAGTTCTGGCACACACACTCTACCGACACCGGGGCCTGTCTTCGTGCGTACCCCTTGGCGGCCCGATGGAGGTGGACACACTGGTATATACTCTCATTCGTGCTATCTTGTGGTTTTTTAACGACCTAAGTCACTTAACAACACGATCAGGTTGTCCAAAAAGGTCATTTTCTTTTTTTGGAGTTTGATTCACCAGAGCTCGGTGAACATGGCAGTCCTTATGGATCGCTTCTTCCGGAGCCAAGGGAAGAGTGTCCGCCGCACTATTCAGGCAGGGCCTTTCGTCACGATTCTTGCTCGGTCATTCTACCCTGACCTAGACATTCCCGGGTTACTACCAATACCGGATAGCATCCACGTTCTTCGGTCCTCATCCTTTGCGAACATGAGGATCAAGAAGAAGCGGAATACTCAGGAGCTCCCAAGCATTCAGTGAGCAGTGCAGCTCTTCCCGGGCACCACCACATAGGGGATCTGGTACTCCATCATACGACATGCCCAGTGCACCCGATTGGAGAGTGATGATGGACGGGATGAGGAGTCTTCAAACCTCATTCTCAAAGTTTCGGGAAGCACACGTGACGAAGTTCCGAGACTTTCGATCAGCACAGGAGGCCGCCATCAGGGAGATGCAGGAGACACAGACTACAACCCTGGCTGAGTTCTGGGATTATCGACTGGCACAGGAGGTCACCGTCAGGCAAATGCGGCAGCAGATAGAGGCTCAGCAGGTGGATATCGATGAGATAAAGGATTGGCTTAGGTCTCGCTATGGCCCACGAGATGATACTGGCTCAGCTGATTAGTTTTTGCTTCCTCCTTAACATTTTAAATTGTTTGTTTATTCAAGTTGGACATTACGCTGCTCTTTTGACTCGATTGCTCATACAAACTGACTATGGATGCTGTAAGGATTTTTAAAACAATTTTATTCCTGTTTTCATCATTCCTCTTCACAAAATCTTTTCAAAACTCAAGTGTGAGGAAAGAACAAAAACAATGTGTGCCTTTATTTCCAAATTTTGTGCATTAAAAAAAGACCTCGAGGGCGAGGTCCAACTCAAGTGTGAGGAGGTTGCACTTTACACTCAAAAAGTTATAACCTTGTTTTAGAACAATCTTTTTACTATTTTTGATATGAAACATTCACTTCTCAATTGTTTTTTGGAAACACCTCACTTATTTATTGAATAAAAAAATACAAAGAGTAGGAGGACTATACCAAAGCCTACTCAGAGTTAAGCAACATAAGGATAGCTAATTGCATCAAATTTTAAAATGCCAACAAATTGATTAAAATGATGAGTTCTGGTTTTAATCAAGTTGCTGTGATATGCCAAGTACTCGGCCACCCTGTTTATCTGAGGTTTGACTGTGGTTATGGTCCAATTGAGATTCCCCAATTTAGCTTTTATGATACTGATGCGCGACCAATGTTTCCAATGTTGAAGATTTTGCCCAGTGATTCCATCATACACATCTTGCTTTTCCACCTCAAAAACCACATTTGTAAAATTTAATTTCTGCAAATGAGGAATAATAATAATAATGACATCATATAAGGCTACATTACTGCTCACATTACTGTCAATTTGAGTGTGGTGGGCAATGTAGTTGCCCTCATGATTTCGAATTAGAGCAACAGTACGACTTAAAGTGTTGGTGATAGGCCTGCAGGCAAGGTTAATTTTGCTCGAATTGGGAGGACTGACCCAAAAATTGAGTACCGGTCTCCTAATATTTTTGGGAGCTTTGGTGTGGATAATAAAAAAAGGATTAGGGCCAGTTATGGTGTACGGCTTGGCACAAGATAAAGCAAAAATATCACTTTTAATAGCATCGATTGCCTCAGGAATACGACCAAGTATGTCATCATAAAGGTAATTATTCCTGTACTTCCAAATCTGCCAGGTGATGTTGTTAGGAATAACATTGTTAAAATCTTTGATAGAGCCATGAAAATCATTATACCAACTGTTTAAGTAATTTTTGAAATTCCCATTATGAGGGGGATGAAAATCAAAAGCATTTTCAAAAAATTCCCAAACACCTTTGCTGAAATTACACTTAAAGAAAAAGTGATTTATGGTGTCATGATTATGGCAGAAGGGGCATTTAAAAGGACCATGAATACCCGTGTTATTTAGGTTATCTGGAAAAGGGAGAATATTGTTTTGGAGCCTCCACAAAAAGAAGGAAATTTTCTTAGGCGTACGGTTATTCCAGACATACTTGGCAGAATGATTAGTACTCACTTTTGGTCTAATCGCATCATAGGCGCTACTAAAAGTGAATTTGCCGTTACTGTTAGGTTTCCAAATAATCTTATCATTCGCATCATAAAACCGTAGGTTCATCCCATGAATGTTGTCAATGACAAAACTGGGCAGTTTGTTGGCAACCGTCTGGGTCAAAGCTTTATCAGTCATAGCCTCCCGAATGGTCATAGTATTGAGGTTTGTAGGGATGTCCTCCTGAAATTGATAAAGGGGGCCAAGCTCACACCAATTGGAGTACCAAAAGGAACTGTCCCCTTTGTTCACTTGAGTGCAGCAATTATCATCAAAGTAAGTGGTAACCGAATTGAGGGGTTTACTCATGTTATCAATCACATAATAGCTTAGAGAATCACCCTTATTATAAGAATTTACTTTTATTATTATTTTTAGAAAACTTGAAATTGTTATGGGTTTTTGGTTGCGAATGTAAAGGGCTAATTTTGTTTTAATTGGACATTCATTTTATTCATAAAAACAAAAATACTATTATTAATAAATCTCTTCAAAACTCATTGTTATAGGACAATTCCATCTCCGAAAAGGGGTTCTGTTTCATTCGTTAATCATAGTCTGTGAGAATGAAATATGCATCTACCATGGGATAACACCGCCAACAAGAGTGGAAAAGAGGCAAAAATACTATTATTAATAAATCTCTTCAAAACTCATTGTTATAGGACAATTTCATCTCCGAAAAGGGGCTCTGTTTCATTCGTTAATCATAGTCTGTGAGAATGAAATATGCATCTACCATGGGATAACACCGCCAACAAGAGTGGGAAAAGAGGCAAAAAAAATGTTTGTGAAAAAAAATGTCCAAACTAGAATAATGAAAACCTTGGGATAAGGAATTGATTGGTGGTTTAACATAATCAATAGTTTTTATAAAGTAATAATAATTTTAAATTCTTGTATTTTGGGTGATTTTTCTAAAATGTCTAAAAGTTGACAATAAAAAAGGAGATTTTTGTTTCTATTTCTTTAATAGCAATTCGATTGTGATTCAGTCAGGTTTTACCTTTTGTGAGTGTGTTTCCAACCAATTTGTCACTTCAGGACAAGCAACGCTTAAGTGTGAGGAGATTGATAAGTCCATTTTTGTACTTATTTTTCTTATCAAGATTAAGCAATTTTTGTATAGAAAATAGAAAAACAAGCCACGCTATGGATATTTTGGTTCAAGTTTCATGAATTCAGGTGAAAATTGCATTCATAATATGTTTGGTGAAATTTCGGGCCGATTGAGCACAAAATGAGTCAATTTGCGAACAAATAAATCCTTATCTAAAGAAAGAAGCATAATATCGAAGTGGTCCGGAAGGAAAATTTGAAGAGCAGAAAATAAAGAACAAGCCGGTCGAAAAAGCTCAAAGGCGGTCACACAGGCGGCCAGATCTGACCGCCCTCCAGGCCGCCTATGGTAATTTTGGAAAGTCAACTTTACAACTTTGACCCGGACCGGAAAAGACAGAAGGCTGCCGACACTCAAGAAGGGTGGCCGCCCTCGGTGACCGCCTACGACACAAGACGAAGAAGCCAACGACCGTCGGTGTGAACAGACGGCAGGCGGCCAGACAGAAACGGCAGCCGGCCGCCTTCCGTGACCGCCTGCGGCGAACTGACGTTGTCGCGTTGATTCTGTCGGTGAAAAGATGGAAGGCGGCCGGTTCAAGCCGAAGGGCGGCCGCCCTCCAGAACGCCTGCGATATTTTTTGTGCTATAAATAACCCGATTTTTGCTGAACTCAAATACACCACTTCAAACCCTAAATCCGTTCGAAAAGCCTCCTTTCTTCTTCCATTTCTGTAGCTCCAAAGGGGTGAAAGAGAGAGAAACTTTAAATCTTTATATCTTCTTCATTTTAGCTTCAAATAATAAGTTCTTTATATGTATTTTCATCTTCTCAACCAGTAGAATCTGAATCTATGCTTTGTTTTCTCAATCTGTTCTTCAATTTTTCCAGAATATTTATCAAGTATTTCGCATTTTCTTCCAAAAATTAAATAAAGTAGTTGTTGATGTTGAATTCATTCCAATTAATTATATAGTTGTTTACTAGCCTCAAGGTTGTTATATATCTGAAGAAAGTTAATTTTCACGAAGCACAAGTAATTTTTAATTAATTTCGGTAATTAGTTGTTATCATTGCATAAATTAAAGTAATTAGTTAAAAATAGAAAAAAAATAATTACGGTCCTAAATCCAGTTTATTCCTCTGCAATATCACCCCCAGTAGCCAATATGAAATTTATCACGAATTTAAAGTATTTTTAGTTGCCTTTTGCATTTAATAGTTAAAATTGGGAAAATTATCAATTAGTTGTTAAAATTGGATTTTAGGTCTAATAATTCGTGAAAAATTCCAGAAAGTTATATTTTAGTTCCTACAAGTTTATTTCGCCATAATTTATTTTTTGTTTAATTTTTGCTGTTATACGTGTTTAATTCCTTGTTAATGTTTAATTTATTTACTATATTGTTGAATGCAAAAATAATGTGATCAAACGGTTAGTAACATAAGGGGGGGGGGGGGGGGGATTGTGTTTCTGTGGAACTATGGCAGTTTCTCGCACAGTTCTGGTGTGGGTGAAGAGAAATGCGAAATAATAAAACACAAGAATTTAACGAGAAAAAATCCCTTGGCTCATAGGGATTAAAAAACTTCGACCTCCCTTGAAGGAATTTGAACAACTTCACTAAATAGCCAAAATGTGGTTACAAGGTAAATTCTCCTAATCTACCCTTGAGCCACCCCAACTCTATCCTCTCTAGGAAGAGTTATGCATCTCTACCTTGCGGGTAGATAGCATCTCAGCTTTAAAACAAAGCTCTCTCACACACACGATCCCAAACCGAGGAAGCTACTCTTAGCTATTCCTCGAAACCAAATTACAAGATAAAGAAAGGAAAAGAAACTCTATCTAGAACTCCATGTGTAGGTTCAGGTGCCTTGAACTTGATAACCCTTTACAACTCTTTCTCCTTTTGATTACTCTCTCAAGCACACACTTCTTCCTCTTGATTCTCGAATATATAAGCCACTTTGATTTGTCCGTTGGTGTCTCTTTCCTTGAGTAATTGAGCTTCCATACTTGGAACTTGCCTTGATATTATTTGAATTACTTTCCTTCTAGTAGCTCTTTCATATTCGTTCTCAAATATGAGTAAATTGACTCATGATTCACGAATCATCATATAAGGAAATAATATTGATTTACTTAACATGTAGGCAGTGGACATGTGTAGCAATAAAATATTTATGCAATCATTTTCTTTTTTCTTTTTTTTTAGAATATAATGAAATTTTCATAACAGTATGGTAATAAAAATAATATAGCAGTAGTAGATATCATCACAAATAGTAACAATGATTAACAATAAGTCAACAACGAATCGAGGTCAATCAATGTACCCACTCTCCCCTCAATCGCCACCGATAAACACCGCCACCGCTCAAAGCCGGAGCAATAAACGCAAGTGAAACAAAAAAAAAACATGTAGCTAAGTGAAAAAAGCCTAAATCGTCAGATCCAGCGAACGTGACAGGAGGCTCCGTCATCCCGCAGATCTGAGAGTTTAGAACAGTAGTGAGGCGGCGAGGAAAGTTGCCGCTGCAGATCCAGCAAGTGCGACTCTGTTCAAAGTGGGAGCGCTGTTAGCACCCGGCGCGAGAGCAGGTGAACCGCTAGGAGATTCGATTGTTGAAGGAGTTACACCGCTTGGACCCAGGCCCGTGGTGGGAGCAGAAGTGATGCCAGGGGACGACGGAGAGGACTGTGGTGACGCGGTGACTGGAGGGGACTGAGTAGGAGTAGATGCGGTAGGAGGCGTTGCAGACGAAGACTTCGGAGTGGCGGCCGGAGATACAACTGGAGTCGAAGCTTTCTTCGGTACAGACGTCGGAAAGGCTGTCGGAGACTGACCTAAAGCAGATCCAACCACTGCCAAAGTGACCGGCGCGTAAACAAGGAAGTTAGAGGAAGCCATGTCTTATCTTCAAAGTAAAGATGAGATCTGGAGATAAACTAAACAAAATATCACTTCAACAGACGCTAAGCTCTTGCAGAACAATCTAGATCTGTTATGCAGTCATTTTCAAGTCAAGCTATTTTAATATCTCATTAGAAAAGCTACGTCCAACTTTTATTGAAATGGCAAGCATAATATTATATAGAAGGAAGTAGTATATTGGCTTTTCAAGCATGCAACTGTTCATGGTAATAGAATATTCATTTTAGAGCTATGGTCAACCAAAATCATGGGCAATAAAATATTCAAAGATAGATTTGCTGCAGCCAAATCTGCTAAGTGGGTCAGTCAATAGTCATGGAGATGACAAATCATTTATACGATCCATGTAACAAGACTACCAAGTTTTCAACGTGTGTGCTTAGTCATGCATATAAGTGTGCCACGTAAATTATAATAGTGAAGATGCGGGCACATATCAAAATATTTATCAAGTATGACAATCATTCATATAGACAGAACTAAGTTCGTTCCTTATGGAACAGGCAGTAGTTCTATCCAAAGGTCCACCTGCATGGTTAGTTCAATAATAAACTATTCAGACCAAAGGATAGTTGTTTCTTTTGTTCCAGTTTAGGTTAGTCATCAACAAAACTAAATAGTCAACAAATTCCCCCTTTTTGTTGATGACAAACCTTAGGTGCAATCATAGAATTCCTGCAAATTAGTATTTGAGCAAAACATAGTAGTAGCAGTTTAAGTGTAGCAGCAAAAGGAGGCACTTGATTATTTCCCCCTTTTGGCATCAACCAAAAGGAAACAAAAAATAACCAAAACAATGCCGAAAAGATAGTAGTTTAGTGCCAGCAGATTAGGAACAAAAAAATAGTTTAAGTGTTATCCCCCCAAAATCATAGTAGTTTAGGAAATGTTATTATAATTCCAATTACTCTTCATCCAAGGAGGACACCACTCTCCCCCGGAGTCCATCACGGCCTTGTTCAAATCTAGCCAGCACATCTCCTTGAAAAGATTTGAAATCAGTTCGCACCACCTCAATCTTACTGGATAATGATGCCAAGGAGTCTGTCAAAGTATCAAAGCGACAAAGCATAGTGATTTCCATTAGGTGCAGTTGGTCTTTGACAAGGGTAACGAAGTGCATTGGATCATGGGAAGGAGTGGGCTTAGGTTTGGATGGCTTGGTTGAGGGTATTGGGGTGATGCTTTCCTTGGTGCACAACTTGGAATTGTGGAATATGATTCCCAGATTGAGTAAGCCTTTGGTGTTCAGGGACTTATGACTCAATTCAGATGATAGATTGTCAAAGGAAATGCCCTTCTTATGAAAGAGATGAGTTAAAATAGGAGCATAGGGAATACCAACTCTTCTGGATGAGCTACTTATGGTAAAGTTCAAGTGAGCCAACATCAGGCCAGGAAGGTTTATGGGATTCTTTTTGGCTAAGAGGTACATGTATGCAACTTCCAATCGAGATGTATGTTGTTGCCCTTCTAGTCTAGAGATCAGATTTGAATGAACAAAGTAGAAAAGTAATTTATGGATTGGGGAAAGGCTGCCTACATGAAGTGAAGATTCGGTGATTTTGGGATCAAAGAATTTGAGGGCTTCAGTTTGTGAGATATCAGTTAGAGGCCATTCTTGTTTATTATATGGGCACACGCCAGTAGTGGGAATCCCTAGAAGTATTCGTAATTCATGAGTGTCTATTCTGATTTTAGTACCACGTACTCAAGAAGCAAGGATATTGTGTTTGATTATGAGGTGTGCAAAGAAGTCAGAGAGACATTCTGTATAGATAAAGCAACAATTTTTGGACTCGAACATGAACCCCCATGCTTGGAAGGAAATTAAGTCAACAAAGTCATTGGTTTGAGAAGATAATTCAGCAAACGGAATAGCAAGTACCTTAACCACGCCGCGCTCCAAATAGGCTGCCTTGAGTTTGAGAACATCTTCTTCTGCTACCTTTCCCAGTTTTGGCGCCTTTTGTGGGGTTTGTTTTCTGTGATGATTCCCATGGCGATTGCTCTGCTTCGAGTAAATTTTCGTGGCAGAGGCTTTCCATCTCTAGTTCCATCGTCGCCTATAGTTGAAGAGGAGCTGGTTGGAGCAGTGATTGGGGAAGATTGTGCGGCTTTGACGTGTTCCCCCTTAGAGGATGCAGGCGAGGGAGGAAGGCTTTGCATGGTGGATTCCTTGGAGGGGGGAGATGGTTAAAGATTGATGTGAGTAGGGTTGATGGGTTTTGAAGGTTGGGAGACTCGTTTCCGACACGAACGACATAATGCAGAAGGGGGAGCTCCTCCTCTAGTTTTAACCATTTTGGAAGTGGAAGAGGTGAACATTTGGGAAGGTGATTATTGGGAAGAGTGGGCTGCGGTTTATGGAAACCCGAATCACACGGATTTCCTTTTAGTAACGAGTCATTAATTCATAAGATTTATTTCCCTTCCCAAAAAAAATTACCCCTTTTTGTTTGGAAAAAAATATGTGCTTAAATGTAGACAGTCAATTAGAAAGTCTTTATAAAACCAAATAAGACAAATAATTTAATCATTAATTAGACCAAGTTCAAGTCTGACTAATTCAAACCTTTCTCTTCCCAGGGGCTTTGTGAAGATGTATGCAATTTGCTTGTCGGTATTGCAATATTCTAACTTGATTAGCCCTTTTTCCACGCAATCTCTCAGAAAATGGTGACGGATATGGATATGTTTTGTCCGAGAATGCATGATTGGATCTTTTGAGATGCTAATTTCACTAGTATTGTCACATAGGATTGGCGTGCAATTTAAGGCAATTCTGTAGTCGCTTACTTGTTGCATGATCCACAGTGATTGGGAACAGCATGATGCAACTGGTACGTATTCAGCCTCGTCCATTGAAAGAGCAACTGAATTTTGTTTGTTAGAACTCCATGAAACCAAGCAAGGACCAATGAAGTGAGCTGTTCCAAATGTGCTTTTCCTATTTAGTAAATCACCTGCAAAGTCAGAGTCTGAATATGCGATAAGATTAAAATCCTCATTACGTGGATACCATAAACATAGATTCATAGTTGCTTTGACGTATTTGAGGACCCTTTTGACTGCTTTGAGGTGTAACTCCTTGGGATTTGCCTGGAACCGAGCACATAGACCTACACTAAAAACAATGTCAAATCTACTGTCAGTTAGGTATAGTAGGGACCGGATCATTCCTCGGTACATCTTTTGGTCTATGCTTGTTCCCTTTTCATCTCCATCCAGCCTGTCATTTGTCCCCATGGGCGTTGTCATTGTCTTGCTTTCACTTGCTCCATACTTCTTGAGTAGTTCCTTAAGATACTTTTGTTGGGATATTTGGATTCCTTTGCTTGTTTGTTTGATTTGTAGACCAAGGAAAAAATATAGTTCTCCTATCATACTCATTTCGAACTCGGAGCTCATAAGAGAAGAAAATTCATCACAAAGAGAATCGTTAGTAGCACCAAATATAATATCATCAACATAAATTTGAACGACCAAAAGGGCTTGATTCTTTATTGAAGAAATTCCACTTATGATCCTTCGAGTTTTGCACCAATTCCACAATTAGTCCTCGTCTTTCATTTTATCCATTTTTGGTACTTGACTATTGTTTTCTTGACAATATATAGTCCTTTTCCGATAGTAAAAATGCTCAGAAATGGACCACAAATGGTCAAGAAAACAATAGTCAGGTACCAAAAATGGATAAAGTGAAAGACGAGGACTAAATATGGAAATGACACAAAACTCGGAGGACCTAAAGTGGAATTAATTCTTCTTTATTTTTAGAAAAAGAGTTTTATCTATTTTTCCTCTTTCAAAATCATTTCCAAAAGAAATTTAGATAGTCATTCATACCAAGCACGAGGTGCTTGTTTGAGACCATAAAGTGCTTTATCTAATTTAAAAACGTGATTAGGAAGATCTGAATTTTCAAACCCCGATGGTTGTTCTACATATACCTCTTCCTTAAGATAACCATTTAAGAAGGTCGTTTTCACATCCATTTGATGGAGTGTGAATCCCATGTGAGCCGCAAACGCTATGAGCATTCGTATTGCCTCTAATCTTGCCACTGGTGCAAATGTTTCATTGAAATCTATTCCTTCTTGTTGGTTATAGCCTTTTACAACAAGCCTTGCCTTGTTCCTTGTGATTTGTCCATGTTCGTCAAGCTTGTTCTTAAATACCCATTTGAGACCTATCACGGTTCTGTCTCTAGGTCTCGGTTCTAGGTGTCATACCTTGTTTCTCTCGAACTAATTTAGTTCTTCCTGCAAAGCTAGAACCCATTCAACATTGGAGAGAGCCACCTCATGGTTCTCCGGTTCTATGAGTGATAAATAAGCAAAGAAGGCACAAAAGTTTCTAAGTTTAGATCTAGTTGTCACTCTCTGATTTAGTTCTGTTAGGAGGTTATCCGGGGGGTGTGACCGATGAAACTTTCATCCTCTTGGAGCATTTGGTTGGTCCACATAATCGTATAAGGTAACTGGAACTATAGATTCTGGTTCTACGATTTGACTGGCTGTGGACTTTCCAGGTTCTTTTTCAGTTCTAGACTCGGCTTGTTCATTGTCCTGGGGCAGTTCCTCAGATTGATTAGGATCTGTTTTATTGTTTTCTTCAGGCTGATTTTCCTTGCGAGAGATTCTGGTTTCTCCATCATCATCTAGCCTTGGTTTCAATGAAATAGCTTCATCAAAAAATTACATGGATACTTTCCTCCACACATTGAGTGCGTTTGTTCATAACTTTGTAGGCTTTGCTATGAGTAGAGTATCCAAGGAAGATTGCCTCGTCACTTCTTGCATCGAATTTGCCAATATTGTCCTTCCCATTATTGTGAACGAAACATTTGCATCCAAATGTTCTTAGATGGCTAATGTTGGGCTTTCTCCCCTTGAGTAGTTCGTAGGGTGTTTTCCCTAGGAGTGGATGAATCATGTCTCTATTAATGATATAGCATGTTGTGTTTAGAGCTTCAGCCCAAAAGTTTCTTGTTAGGCCACTGGAAATCAGCATTGTTCTAGTCATGTCTTCCGATGTTCTATTCTTGCGCTCTACAACCCCGTTTTGTTGGGGAGTTGTAGGGGCAGAGAAATTGTGGTCTATGCCTCGTTCCTTGCAGAAGGTATCAAAGAGTGAAATTTGATAAATGTTCCCCAACATTTATCACACCTAAAATAGGTGGTTCTCGG